TATCAGTATACCGTTTTAAAATGTCACCGTTTTAAGGAATATTTCAATAATTGTATTTTATTATTTTGTTATTTTATTTTATTGTTTTTGCAATTGAGGAAAATCATGCAGCAATGGGTTTGCATGTAAAATGTGAGAGACAATTAAACATTACTTTTTTGATCAATTATTAAGTTCAATTTAAATTTGTTTTTAGAATTAGATTTTGGAATTTAAATATATTCAGCAGTTTTTCGATAGTTACATCGTTGTACGACTTTCACTGTTGGTTACAGTCGAGAAGGTCAAGACACAAGCGAGGCAGTGCAAAGTGCCAAACAGTGTGAGACAGCTTCTTTCTGTGCTGTAGAACTGAAAACATTCCAGCTTATTTTATCATGGACCGTGGTCAGTCTGTATTGTTAGGGTGGTGTGCGAGAGTTTTCTACACTTTCCTCCTTGTGGGAATGGATACTGATGTCCATATAATCAGGAGAATGAAGACTTGCATGCGTAAGACCGACAGAAGCAAGCATGGCGGTCATGCTTAGCATGCTAAACAGAGAGGGCCTGTCATCTATCCTTTCCGCTTCCTCCCCCAGTCAACCCCCACCTGCCTCGATCCCACCCATGCTCTTTGTTCCTGGGCCGCACATCCTGTGTCTTCAGAGGCTGGGGACTGGAGCCTGGGATGAAGAGGATGCAGTTGAACACAGATTTAACCTGTTCTTAGACACAGTGGAAATGTGTAATGTGTTTAGCGGTTAAACGTACAGCTTGTGACTGAACTTTGAGCCAATGCTTGATGCTATTTAAATAATGGTCTTAGTTGTGAAAAAGACAATCCACTGTAGGAGTCGAACTGATATATTTTTGATTCAAGGAGATTAATACTCTACGAATAAGACCAACATGGGACTTCTTAACAAGCTTAACCAACAATCTTCCATGTTTAATCAGCTTTACCAGCTAAGTTTTGCAGGTCATCAGTATAAAGGATACACTGGCATTAACTACGATAAACAAGCAGGACCAAAGAAATCTCTCTATTAGGGAGCAATTCTCACTATTAACTAACTATTAACTATGACTTTTGCCTCAAACTCCAAATTCGCTTATTGATAGTTAGTAAGGTAGTTGAGGTAGGATTAAGGGATCTAGAATATGGTCATGCAGCATAAGGCATTCATATATGGTTTATAAATACTAATAAACAGCATATATGCTAGAAATATGCATGCTACTAAGCTGAGTTAATAGTAAGAATTTGTCTCTAAATTAAATTGTTACCTATGCAACTTTTTGCAGGCTTGGTGTGACAAAACAAGACCAGTCTCCTCCTGACTGTAGCTATCCAACTTATTTTTAATGTGTGGTCATGTGTAGCTTGAATGTTTGAGGCTTTCGGGTGTTATTCACACAAAAACTATCCTTTATGCTACTTGATAATGCAAAATTATATTTGTTATAAAATTAATTAATTATTTTAATCACTGGTTTGTAGCACAAATAGTTTTACCATTTACTACACTTTGTTTTTGTTGTTACTTATAGCAGCTAACGAATCAGCTGAATTTTCAGGAGCCAATTACTCCAGTCTTCAGTGTCAAATAATCCTTCAGAAATCATTTTAATATGCTGGGACACACCTGTTAATTATCGAATTCAGGTGTTTTAATTAGACCTATTTCCATTTGTGAAAAAAGGGTCTTTCTGAAGAGCTCAGTAAATTCAAATGTGGTACTATAATAGGATGCCTCCATTACAGTAAGTCATTTCATGGAATTTCATTCCTGCTAGATATTCCACAGTCAACTGTAAGTGGTACTATTGGTAACTAAAAGTGTTTAGGGACAGCAGCAAATCGAAGCCACAAAGCGTTTGCTGATTCCATACAGTAGCTGAAGAGTTCCAAACTTCCCCTGCCATTAATATCCACACAAAAACTGTGCAGCGCAAGCTTCATGGAATGAGTTGCAGCGGCTGAGCAGCTGTATGCAAGCCTCACGTAATAAAATACAATGCTAATCACGCTTCCCAGTACTTTTTCCATATAGTGCAGGGGTGTCCAATCCTGCTTCTGCTCCAATGTCCTGCAGATTATAGCTCCACCCAGCTCCAACACACTTAAGCCGGGCACACACTGCATGATTTTAGCCCCGATTTTCACTTGCTGACAGTTTTGTGGAAATCACAGACAAATCTTGACCTGTATTTTGACTTTAAATGACATCGGCAAGGACCTACAGCCAATGAGAGAGCACGAAAAAGGTAAGGGAAAGTTCAGTGGGAGCCAGTACACATAATCTGTCTGCAACCGGCATCAGCAAGAAACCATTCTCTTCTTTCTCTCAGATTTGTCTTCATTTTTTTTACTGCAAATTCACGAGTTCACACTTACATATAATAAACAGTAGAGGTTATGCATATTTGGTGTGCTGTCCGAGGGGAGGGCTCCGAGCTTGGAATTTTGGTCCGAACCCAGAGTACCCCCCCTACAGGTTAATACAGAAATAGTTGTAAGTGTGGAGAAGGGGTGGCGGAGGGATTCTGGAAAAACTGTCAAGGAACAGAGGTAAGTCTGCTATGTATATTTACACACCTCTTATCTTGTTAATTGGGTTGATTACTGATTGTGCACCTCTCGTGTTAATTTTATGAATGTGCTCCTCCCGAACTTTGTTAATAAAACGTCATTTCACGAGTTCACACTTACGTATAATAAACAGAGTAGAGGTTCTGCGTATTTGGTGTGCTGTCCGAGGGGAGGGCTCCGAGCTCGGAATTTTGGCTCGAACCCAGAGTACCCCCAAAAAGCAACAGAGCAAAGGATAGCCACCCGACGAATAACACCCCCAAAATGAGCGCCGAAAATTTGGCGGGCTGGCGTTTCAGGAAGAAACTTAGGCCCAATCCCAATTCTATTTTATACCCCGGTCTCGAAAAATCTTAATTTGAAGGGCTATCACATGTCATCATACGTCGTCTAGCTCCTACAATACACACACCTGTACTGCTGTGCTGGTGTGCAACACGAGCCTTTAATTACTGTTCTATATTAATGCGCTGCTTACTGACACACACACACACACATATATATCGGAGTTCACGCAGCTCACAAATCCAGGAGAAAAGAAACTTGTCAACGCTGCCCCACGACATTTATTAATAACAGTTTAAATACTGAATCGCTACATTATATTTTCCAGCAACGAGAGGATAAAATCGATGTTTTTGAAGTAAACTCACTCTAAAAAGAGAAACACACAGATGCGCACATGCAACTTTCATCTCTCTCTCTCTCTCTCTCTCGAATTTGCAATATTTGAGAAAAGGGTTTAGCGATTTCTAATTATTGGGGGGACTAGCCCCCCCTCAGTGTCTATGGTGGTTATCGCCCTGACCAGACATGAAAATATGTTGTGGCACTATTGTGCAGTAACGATATGACGTTAGCAAAATTTAGCAATTTTTTGCAAACATTTCCCGGTCTCGAAAAATCTTAATTTGAAGGGCTATCTGGCCCTTCCCCTACCCCTCAAACCAAATGAGAATCGAGACAGGGAAGGGATAAGGGGTAGAAAAAGGGATTGGGCCTTAGTTTTTTGACCGGGTGCCGGGTGGAAGGGCCCTACCGGCCGATGGACGAGGAACAGCATGATTTGGGGTGCTTGATCAGGAGGGCTCATACCACTTCTTGACGGGAGCAGCTCGCAGCATCAGACTGGTGAGCCCTACCGACCGATAAAGGAGGAGCAGCGTGTTTGGGCTGTCAGACCGGGGGCCCGTACTGCCTCCAACGGGAGCAGCTTGCAGCGCTGGGAAGATGGGCCCCACTAGACGACAGACGAGGTGCAGCGTGATTTGGGAAGCCTGATCAGGAGGGCTCACACCGCTTCTTGATGGGAGCAGATCACAGCGTCAGAGGGGTGAGCCCTACTGGTCGATGACGGAGTGGACGAGGCTCGAATCGACTGACCGGGAAGGTCCACACGCAGCTTTAACGGGAGCAATTCACGGCGTCAGATGGGTGGACTTTACCGGCCGATGGATGGGTTGAACTAAATTTGGAGTGCCAGCCGCAAGAGTTTTGCTGCGTCCAACGGGAGTTCAATACTCACGGCATTGGACAGGTAAGCCTCGCTAGTGGATGGACGGAAAAGCCAAGGTTTTCCTGACCCGGGAGGCTCTCGTAGTTCAATACTCATGGCATCGGATGAGTGAGCCTCGCCGGTAGTCGAGAGAGAAACATATTTGTTCCACCAGGAGTGATCTTGCAGCATCTGCCAGGGAATTCAACACTCAGAACAATTTGAGTTGTCTAGAAGGGTAGATGCTATGAGGATTACTTTGCGTAATTGTTTGACAAATCCAATAAGCTGCTTCTGATAACACGTCAGAAAATCTTGGTGCTGCTCTGCATCCAAAAGTTAAGCGTACGACAAAATAGAATTTCCCATACCAGCCTACCCCAAATAAGTGCCATGAATCTGGATGGATAGGCATAGCTTTGAAAGCTGAGGTGATGTCAACTTTTGCCAGCCAAGCAGAGAGGCGGCACCAGAGAATTTTGAACGCAGGTGCTGAGGTGGTGCTAGCTCATTGACGGGGAGCTGGGCAATTCAGGGCTCCAGACTCATTCTTCCCACTGGTCGCTCTTTTGCGACTAACTTTCTCAGTTGGTCGCATGAGCAAAAGGTTTTTTTTCTTTTTTTTTTCTTGCTACAACATAGGATTAATCAATGCATGCTGATAAACTTAAATCATAGTTTATAGCAGTGGTTCCCAAACCTGTCCTGGAGGCCCCCCTGCCCTGCACCTTTTGTATGTCTCCCTTATCGAACACACCTGATTCCACTTATCAGCTCGTTAGTAGAGACTGCAAGAACTAAATTGGGTGTGTCTGATTAGGGAGACATACAAAATGTGCAGGGCAGGGGGTCCTCCAGGACAGGTTTGGGAACCACTGGTTTATAGGATATATGGAAACGAAAGTGGTTAACATTCAACCCGTTCTTTTTCATCAGTAGTAGTATTTGTGATTTGAATTTTGTGAACGGGAGTTCCTCTTTTCCTATGTTATAAGCCGGGCTTCGGATGCTTTCACTTTCGATTTCGCGATCTTGTCACGTTTTACAATAAAAGATAATTGTCTGTTTTGCTTAAATCTATATACCTTTCACTTTTTAAGACTAAAACAAAAGATGGATTCATTGTTATTTTTAATTAAAAAGCACAACAACAATAAAACAGTAAGATACAATGACAAACTAGCTTACAAAATGTTTATTAACAAAAACGAATAAGATGAGGCATGGCACAAGCCACATGCTGTATTATATACCGACTAATAAATTACAGAACGTTTAGCAAACACTGAGGAATCAAAAAAAAGAGAGCCTCCATAGCATAAGGTGAAGTAAACAGCAAAGATAAGCTTTTCAAAATGAAAA